CTTCCGATCCTGGAGCTGGTTGGCTTAGCTCCTTGATAAGCTCCTTGTTTCTCCTACAATGTTCATGAACATATTTTGGGAGATTAGGCAAAATCCGACATAACCCGTTAACTGTAAGTCTGTCTCTAAAATCTCTGAACTCTTGTTTGCTTTGATCTTTTTACCTGTAACGATCCGAGTTTTTGTATATTTGTGCGAAATCGACCTCCAGAGCTATTTCTTGTGCAGTGGTTGAAACTTCAAGCATCCAGGTTGCAGGATTATACCCATCTTTGATCTTGCTGATTCCTTGAATACTCTGTTGTCAAAATAGAATTTTCAGACCTTGTCCACTTATGCCAGGAATATTGCAAGTAATGTATGTAGTCATATACCTCGAAGTAGTTGATCAGATGGCCTGACTGGTGGCCCAGTGGTCCGACGTAGATCTCTTCACCTCCACGCTTCAGCAAGAACAACTGCATATGAACACCAAAGAAACATATCAACTTTGATTGTCTTGAAAATCTAACCGATGGTCCATTTGTGTTTGTGTTTTTGAAAAGGTTTCTCGGACCTCATCGAAGGCTTCGAAAATGTCAATGCTGGGCTGGTGAATGGTGCAGACAACGGTCCTGCCTGTGTCCACTGTGTTCCTCACAGTCCTCATGACAATAGCTGCAGCTCTTGCATCAAGCCCGGAAGTAGGTTCGTCCATGAATATAATGGAGGGGTTGGCCACAAGCTCTACCGCAATCGTCAGTCTCTTCCGCTGCTCAGTAGAAAGGCCATTCACCCCGGGCAAACCCACCAGTGCTTGCCTTAACGGTGTCAGCTCCACAAGCTCCATCACTTCCTCTATGAACATCTGCACCCCAAAAACAGAAGTAGAAAACATTTGTCAGGTGTTCTGTTTTCTGGGTTTGCTCCCTTTAAGTGATGCAGTATCCAAAAATCTTTTTTGAAAAACCTTTCGGGTTTCTGAATCGACTTCTCTTGGTAATCTGAGCCAGGCTGAGTAAAGCAAGGACTCGTAGACGGTGACATGCGGGGAATGGATATCGTTCTGTTCACAGTAGCCAGAGATACGGGCAAAGGTTTCTTGCTTCTTTGGGTAACCGGAGATCATTACATCGCCGTCAATGTAACCACCAGTTTTTCTTCCGGCCAGGACATCCATCAGAGTAGTTTTCCCGGCACCAGATACACCCATGAGAGCCGTTAGGACACCCGGCCTAAATGCTCCGCTAACACCCTTCAACAGGACAAGCCTGTCTTCTTGGAAACCTTGCTCTTTCATTTCCTTCAAGACAAGCAAAAAAGGTTCAGGATCCCACCAAATCTTTCGTTTTTTCGATATTCGGAATGCTGAACAAGAGCCTGTAAGGTTCTTTACCTGTGGCATGTCGACAGAGTATGTAACATTATCGAAGGTAAGGGAGTGTGGCTCGAAAGGGAGCACCATTCCTCTTTGCCTATTGTCGTTTGCTTCAGCTGCATTTCCTGTGTTTGAAATATCAGGTTGTGTTCCGTTGCTTGGATTCTCCTTTTCAGTGGCTGCGTCTTCTGGTAAATTAGCTTGAGGCTTCCCAAATGCTGCATCAGATATTGACACAAGCAGAGTGTGAAGAGACAATCTCACTTTGCTTTAATAGATACGATGGTTTCGATACGTACGGTTGAGAAAGGTGATGGATAGAGTGAAGAAGAAGTTGAACAAGACGATGAAGCCGAGTAAGGCACCGACTCCAATCCAGTACCAGTAAGCATCGGTGAAGAAACCACGCGATTTCAAGACAAAAACCCCGAGTGACTCAGTAGAGTTCGGAGCAGGCTTTTAAACCAAAAAGAAGTCCCACCATGAATTAGATTGGAAACCCATGAAAGGAATAATCTCACATAAGTTACATAGAGGGCACTTTCCGACTTACCCGACTCCAACTGTTGCCGAGGAACTCGTTGGCAACAATGGCGTTCTGTCCGTACATGATCGGAGATATCCAGTATCCCCATATCCACCACTTCTTGATGTCATCTAGTGAGAAAAAGGAAGAATATTAAAGCCCTAATCACAATCAATGTAACAGATTACTTTAGTGACAAGAAACCAACGCAGAGAGACGCACGTACCTCGGGAGAGAACCATACCACCCAAAGCGAAGAAGACGAGCATCGCAAAAGCGCCAAACGTGTTCGCGACAATCATGTTTCTTCCTATTCCAGCCATGAACTTGAACAACCCAGAAGCCATCTGGTTTATCAGCACCAGCAGAAGATACTGCTTAAAAAGTCTGTGCAATAATATCAGAGGATGTACAAAAAAAGATCGTCAGAATCTCTGAACAAAAAAACGATTCTATAAAAGAAATATCTTCTTTAATATGAGAGGATGTACCTTCCGACATTAGGATCGAAGCCAATAACGTAGTAAGTCGTGAAGACAGTGATGGCAGCTTCGATCAGAGTGATGGGGATCTTAAGGAGCCAAGGAGGAAGAGAGTAGACCCACGCAGGGTAAAACAGAAGATCCCTTTGCTTGTAGAACACCGGAAGTTTGGCTATCGTCATGGAAAGCTCAGACATGCCATTGAACATCAGCATCATCATCATGAAGAACAATGCTCCTTGGTATATAGTCCCATCCACTTCTGTCTTCTTATGCATTTCAGTTCGGAAGAACAATGTCAATGTCACAAACGACATCACCAACAGCTGAAAGAGACACATAAAAGAGCAAGAGGGTCAGCATTCAGGATCTGATTACTTATATATGCATATAACCGATGTATATATACACATACTTGTCCGAACTTGAAGTAGTAGACAAAAGAGTTCCGCTTCATGAGCAGGTATTCTCTGGAGAAGTTAGCTTTGAGGAGCTCTTTTAAGCCAACTCCAAACTTGTGGGTAGTAAGAGCAGCCGGGTGACTTCTTGTCTTGTCGAATGGTAACCCTAACTCATCCCCTAGCCTTCGCCCCACGTGGAACGATTGAAATGCTTCTGCAAACTCCTTCACCGTTATGAATCTGTAAGGCTCCTCTGTCCTTGCCCAGTATTGCATCTGATCTTTACGTGACGTCACCTGCAAGCAGCAAAATCCCTCTCTGAACTGATTAACAGATGCAAAGGAGCATGTTTTTTTTTTCAGAAGAATTTGGTTAGGAATGTTACTTCTTGGAGGAAATCGGCGACGCCCTTTCTCTGAGGACACTTGAATCCCATGGACTCGAAGAACTCCAAGACATGTTCCCGAGGACCCTCATAGACAATCTGACCATCTGATATAAGGATGATGTCGTCAAAGAGACCATATGTCTCGGGTGCCGGCTGAAGGAGGGAGATCACGGTTGTTCCATTGAATATATGAATGTAGTCTCTGATGGAATTCACGATCTGATACGTGGTTGAGCTGTCTAAACCGGTAGATATCTCGTCCATGAACAATGCCCTCGCGGGTCCGACCAACATCTCGCCTATGCACAATCAAATCCGAATCAAGAACAGTAGATTTATACAAGAATTCAAGGCTTTCCTTTCTGATCGAGATACCTGTCGTGACACGCTTCTTCTGTCCACCGGAAATACCTCTCAGCATTTCGTCTCCGACCATTGTGTCAGCACATACTTCAAGTCCTAAGATCTGAAAAGTTATAATGATTCAAGCATTAAGAATCCGAATAATTGCCGAAACCTAGCTTGGTATTTTACACAATTGGCGTACGACTAATCTAATGTATACCTTGAGCATATAGTCCGTGACAACACTTGTTTCTTGACCTTCTGTTGACATCGCCTGCAAAGAAAGTAGTTACCGGGACGACATTAGCTAAAGCCTTGCATGAGTTCTGCAATGCGTGGACAAGATTTTTTGTCGAGGATCAAACCTTCATGAAGACATCGATATCGGGATCAGGCTTGATGTTTGCTTGTTTCTCCCTTCTTGCCAACTCCGACAACATATCTGTCAAAGTTCTGATGATGGTCAGTAGACATGATTTTCCGGCAAAAAAAAATCTCAGAATCGGACCGGGAAATCGAAACTAACCGTAACGGGAACCGACTCCTTGGCAACGTGCAGCAAAGGCAAACGTCTCACGAACAGTCATCTCGCCGATATGGACGTCGTGCTGGCTGATATATGCGGCTGTTCTCTGAGGGACAAACTCGTTCATTCCATGCCCATTGTACGTCACGTTTCCAGATTGCTACCAAAGGGGAAAAACACAATCAAATCCTCTTTTAACCATGCTTCAGGATTGGTCAAAAGGTTAAAAACATTTGGATTTATGCCATTATAAGAATTAGACAACAGATATAAACAGAGAGTATTACCTTCAGTTCAGTATCAAGCTTGCCCGCCAGGGCCAGCAACAGAGTTGTCTTCCCAGAACTCGGGGGGCCCAAGAGCAGTGTCATCCTGGGCTCCATTTTTATGGGGTTTAATTAAGATTTTTATTAGTCAAAACATTCAATTAAGTAGTAATAATACGTTGTTTTTATGTAAAAAAAAATGGAAATTTGAAAATCACCTGCTGGGTTTGATCACTCCGCTGACGTCTCTAAGTATTGTGAACTTTTGCTTTCCGCTCGGAAGAAAGTGCAGTTTATTCAGAAACCCCTTTTAAATATAAACAGGGGTGGGGGTTGGGGGGGGGGGGTTTGTTAGTATTTTATGACTCTAAATAATGTATAATTTATAAAAATATATATATATTTTTATTACCTCAACGATGTTGGAGATGAAATTAACGAACGTTGGCAAGGCTCTGCCGCCGACATGGGCCTCTGCCTCGACTGTTAGGTGATCGAATCGAACTTCTATTGTCGGAACTTCGATTCCAACTCTGCCATTGCATATTTAGATTCCGAAAAAAAAAACGTTAGAACACGAAAAGTTTGATCATTTTTTTTCCCGAGAACCAATCAGAAAACGAGCCGATCCATGGAACAGAAGCAAGAGATGTGACCTGTCGATACGGTTCTTGAGAGACCAGAGGAGCTTCTCATGGTCCTCGTCGCCGACCTTCATGAGCCTCTCGAGCAGTTTCTTCTTTTCCTGGAAGCCAAGGCTGTGAATGTCGATCTCGTTGACTCCGCCATGGGAGGCGGTGAGAATTCCTTTCCTGAGCCTGTCGAAAGTTGGGAGCTTCTCAAGAGCGGCCCATCTCAGAGCTTCTTCGTCGTCTTCTTCCCGAGACGATCTCGAGAAAACCTCCATTCCTGTATCTCTCCTCCACACCGAAGAGTTTCTCCTCAGACTGCTGCTCGCTTTGTGAAAACTAGTGCCTTCCATTGCTAATTTTCCCGGGAAAACGGAACCCAGAAAAGATTTTCCTGGAGAGCTGAAACCCAGAAATATATATTTTTTCTCTGTTTCTCGTTTGTTGGTGTCGGATCAAGAACTAAGAACAAGCTCTTCAAAACCTTGGACATGAAAGAAATGTGGGATTCTCGGGCATATATATATACACACAAGCAGAGGCACATGCGTGATGCATGTACGTACGTGTTCATGCGCATCACATCAAGATGAAAATTCAGACACGTAATAACGGGGAAGCAGGGGCTTTTTTTTTTGTTTGGTCTCAATTATAAAAAAAAAAAAAAAAGATTACGTCAGCAGTGAGTTTGTCTCTTGGCCCTCTAGAAGCAATGCTTTGCTTGGAATATTCTCCCACGTTATGACTTTCTTTATCCCAAAAGAAGCAGCCATTGTTCATTAAACACAAACATATTACATAATCATTAATTATAAATTTGACCCATTTCATGTCCATGCCATTACCTACTTTTTCCAAAATGGAGAAACGTACACCATCATTCAAACACGAACAAGAAATAAAACAAATTTCTCTATATGTTTTCTCATTTATCCCATATTTATAATTTTTACTATTAAAGAAATATTTAGAGAAGTTATTAATATATATATATATATACACACACACACACTTGTGGGATAAAGGTTGAGGATATAACACGCTTTTTACGTAATTGGTGCCAAACTCTATGAATTATTTTTTGGTTAAAATAATGGTTTGTGGAGAAGCGAATGCCATAATTATTATTTTCCAACAACAAAAAAAAAGATATTTGACTGAAAGAATATGGAACAAGAAAGTTAAAATGTAAACAGTAACATGAACAGGGTGGGCAATTCTCACAAAATTGATTTTCTCTTTTTAAGACTAGCATTTTAAGCCGCCCTTAAATAGATACGAAATATCAAGGAAACTTTTCCGCATGTTTTATTAGAATTTATTTAAAATTTATTCTCCTTATATATACACATATATATAATTTTATTTTTTTTGTTGATTTGTTTCCTTTGGTCTAAATGGGACATTCCGATCGGATGAATATTAGTCAACGAAGGTCAAATCTTCTGGTAGGAAGGTCAACGTTTTTTGTTTTTCTTTTATATTATTATAATAATACAACAAGATAGAAACTTAAATTATTCGATATTGAAATTTATCATAGCAACAAGACTGAAGTTACAGTCATAAAACATGAAATTTTCATAATCAATCGGTAAGAGGAGAAGCCTTGATCATGGAAAGGGCCTTGTCGAAATGTCTCGCTTTCATTTCGAGGTATTCCTTCCAAGTAACCGGCCGGTACATTGCCGGTTCAATCGGGCTTACCAATTTCGATATGGGCGATATATCGATATCCCCCGATGGACCCCATAAATATGCAATCGAAAACCTAGATTTGTTTTTGTTGACCAGGGCCTGGTGAAGTGAGCTCCGAAGTTTCCCATTCGATAGTATGTGAAGGAGATCGCCGACATTAACCACTAGTAAACCGGGAACCGGTTTGACCAAAACCCATCCGGTTCCTTCCTTGAACATCTGAAGACCGGCGGCATTGTTCTGATGCAGAATGGTTACCATAGTAGAGTCGGTATGGGCGGCTAGACCCATTGCCTGGTCCGGTTCAGGACAAACTGGATAATGGTTAAGCCGTATTGCGCCACTGCCCGAACCTAAACCGGAGTTATTGGGCCCCGTCCATTTGATGTCTTCTTCGGTGACACCAATTGAGCCCAATATCAAACCCATCAGCTTCCCTGCCAACTTTTGCATTTCCTCCTCGTACTCTTCAATTATTCCACTGTCAGTCCACAAATTATAAGCAAATGTTTATATATAAATTGTAACCATGGATCTTAAATCATTTGTAATAAGACAACATGATTTAGTCATTGACTTAAATTGAATATTCTTATAAAACGTTATAAATGCTTTTTCAATTAACGTTTCAGGACTTACATATGTATTGAAATGAATGGTCTTTCTGCATATACTGTTTACCCTAGTCCCTTAGTCGAGGAAAACGGTTAATACGGTTAGGAAATACTTTTCCCATTTTCATTGCTCAATGTTTAGTTAAGAACCATCAATAATGTTTATATATGTATCTTTTACGTCATATAGAGATATAAGCATATATATGATATGAGCTTGTGCGTGTGCATGAATTATGTATATACCAGTATTTGTCATAATCATGGGGCCAAAGTGTAGGGAAATGTTGGCGGTAAGAGCCAGCAACGATGGTGAACCCCTCGGACCACATTTTACTGTCGAAGAAAGGAGCAATACGGGCTTCTCCGTATCCTCCGATGCCGTTTTTCTGGGTGGCCGTCTCGAGCTTCTGCTCTGTCGGAAGCCCGAAGAGGCTGCTGGAGAGCGACTCCACGTCATCCAGAAGCTTCGATGGGATGCCATGGTTGGCTATTTGGAACGCTCCCCACGTTTCGCATGCATTGCCGATGCGAGTGACGACGTCGGAATCGGCCAGATCGATCACCGGAATCGATTCTCTGTCGTTGGAGGACGTAGTGGGTTTCCACTTGTACGACTCTGGTAGGGTCTTGAGGTTCCTCAAGTCGTCTATCGAAGGCATGGCGTTGAGAGATAGAGAGAGAAGGGGTCGGGTCACTTTGAGAAGAGACTAGTGGAGAGGAGTGTATATATACACACGAAGAGTTATACACATTTGCTTGCACGTGTGTGTGTGTGTGTGTGTATCGAAATAAGACAGTTTTGTTTATCCTTTTTTGGGCAAATATGAAGATATACCCTATATTTGTTGTTATCTGTGTAATTATAAATAACCGGAAGTGTATATATATATATATATATATGTGTGTGTAATTAAAGCATTCATTTCCCTTTAAAATTTTCCAATTCAAATTTTTGCCTTTATTGGATATACAGCCCAGATTTCTTCTTCCTCTAAAAGCATGCTATTAAAGATGACCAGATTTTATTCCTTGTAAGCCATAATATACATATCTACGTAAATACGGGATTTTAGACCAGATATGCACCGCAACTTGCCTTTTTAAAGGTAACGAAGAGTAGAATACTGTGGCCTGTTAGATGATATAGTGGGCCTTGGCCCGTTATTTGATGGGCCTTGAGATGGACATCCGTTGCCTCATAATACTGTGGCCTGTTGTACCATTGGCATTTTCGGGAGTGAATCAAATGAAAGGTCGCATTTGTAATATATGTTTTAATATGTAAAAATGGGTTCGAATTTGCACGCACAAATTTATTATATAATTCTACAGTTGATTTAGATTTAGACCTTCTATTTCATTCTTAATATTATTTTTATAAAGGTGTTCAATATCTCACATGCACTTATTAATTTATATAGTTTGAATCAATAGTAGACGAATAAAAATTTAAACCACTAATCGTGGGTTTTTGTTTCTCCTTAAATTTGATGGTTGGCAAAAATAATAATAATAAATCGAAATATTCCATAATCAGCCAAATGAATCTCTGATGGTTGTTGTTAAAAATATTTATTACATAGACACAGCTGTGGTTCGTCAGCTAGTTATAGTTTTTAGACCAATCTGACACGTCGAGATCGAACAAAATGTCGTGGGGCTTCCGACAAAAAAAATATAACACGAATATTTTATTTTCTTAATAAAAAAAAATTAATTTTGGAGTCTTCCAATCATGGACTTCCTCGGGGCCCTCGCAGCATAATGGCAACAAGTCATGGGAACTCGTTTGTTTGTGTGTATATTATTTTACTCAACATATATGAAAAAAATATACAATATTTAATTTGTAAAGTATTATATATAGACGATAACTGTTTCCAAAGTTCTTTGGATTATATATATGTATTATATAATATGTTTGTTGAAGCTGCGAGGAGAAGATGAGAGATGGAAATAAAGTTTCCAAATGATAAAAGGTTTGATTTGTCGTTTATGCATTTGGAAGTGTTTGTCTTCTTGACCCTTCGACCCATTTAGAGTCGAAACCCTAAAACCATGCTTTTTTTTTTGTTGTTGTTCCTTCCTCTTAATAAGCTCTCTTCCCTTTTTATTGTATATTTATTAAGCTTCCATGTTTTTATACATATAATACGAATATTTTAATTAAAAAAAGACAACAAAATTTCAAAATGTATTTAAAAAAAAAGAAAGAAATTGATTAATCAATCTAGCCAACTATCATGACCCAAAAATTCCAACGACATTATTCTTGTTGTCATCAACCCTAATCGCCGAAAGTGCATTGTTGAAATGTGTCGCTTTAGTTCCAAGGTACTCCTTCCAAGTAACCGGCCGGTATAGAGGCGGTTTAACCGGACTAACCAGCTTCGGTAGAGGTGAGATCTGGACGTCAGCTTGCGGGCCCCAGAGATAAGCCACGGAGAACCGAGGTCGGTCCTGGTTAACCCGGACCCGGTGGAGCGCGCTGGAGAGCCGACCATTGGATAAGATGTGGAGGAGATCGCCGATGTTGACCACGAGCGAGCCAGGGATCGGCGGCACTGTGAGCCAACCGAAACCGTCCTTGAAGACCTGGAGACCGGCAGTGTTGCTTTGGTACAGAACGGTTAAGAGCGTAGAATCGGTATGAGCTGCTAAACCCATGGCCCGGTCCGGTTCAGGGCATACCGGGTAGTGGTTCAGTTGTATTGCGGCTTGGGCCCCGTTGAAATCTGAATTGGGCCCGGCCCATTTGATGTCCCCTTCGGTCACGCCTAGTGAACCTAACACCAACCACGTCAACCTCCTTGCCAACTTTTGCATCTGTTCCTCGTACTCTTTGATAATGTTACTGTTAAATGGAATACTAACAGTCAAAAATAAAAATATATATGCAATCTGAATATAATGCATATACATACATGCATGCATACATGTGTGTGTACTTCTTTTTGCAAGTGGGGTTTTGTTTTCATCGGTCCAATTAAATATGGTATCTCTCCATATCTTCACGTGGGTCCAATTGCTCTCATTCTGCCCTTTTTTTTCACTAAACTTCGTCATGGCAAAAATTCGGCTTCTGTTTCTATGCTTCCGTTACTACCGAACCAAACAATAAATCCAAATGTAAATAATTCATGCAAGGACAAAACTGATTCGCTTTGAACTCTACTCTCTCTTTTTTATTCACATATATTTTTATATTCATAAAAAGTATTTAATTAAGCTAACATATTGATATATACACGTATCTATGTACGTATACGTTTGGACGTACATGGTAATACACGCAAGACAACATACCTGTTATAACATGAGTGATATTATGCGTATATATGTGCGTGTCTATACATAGGTATGTAAATGTACCAGTATCTGAGGTGATGACGTGGCCAGAGTTTACGGAAATGATCGAGGGGAGAGCCGGCGAGGGTGAAGCCTTCGGACCACATTTGTTTATGGAAGAAGGAAGCGATGCGGGCGACGCCGTAGCCGGAGATGCCGTTCTCCGGGCGAGCCGCCTTGAATTTCCGGTGAGGAGGAAGCTGGAAAAGGCTTCGGGAGAGGAACTCGATGTCGTCAAGGAGAGGCAGAGGCACGCCGTGGTTGGTGACTTGGAAGGCACCCCACGTCATGCATGCATGGCCGACGGCGGAGGCGGCCGAGTCGTGATCGGAGAGATCGACGACGGGAAGGGAATCCGCGTAATCTGGGGTGGCGGCGGAGAAGAGAAGGTCGTCTTTGTGGGTCCAAGTGAAGGAGTCGGGGAGTTCACAGAGAGAAGTGAAGTCATGGGGCTGGGGAGAGCGCGGGAGGTGAATGGGATGGGCTCTAAACACATCGGTTAACGTGGTGGGCATGTTTAATTTCTTATATCTATCTGTATAAACTGTATGTATATATGATTTTTTTTTTCTTTTTTTGTTCCTTTCTCTCTGTTCTATGTTGGTCTTGGAGTGTGCTTAGACGGGGGAAGAGGGTATTTATAGAAGAGGCCATGAGGAGAGAAAGCAAACCATGTGAGCTGAGATATGTTTGATGAAGAATGAGGACAAAAGCTTGTTTTGGTGGATTCTTATTGGTTATCAACTAATTTATTGAATACCAACAAAAAAAAAAAAAAAGAGATGGAGGGCTCACCCTTTTCATTCAAATATTATATATTATATATATATATATATACTGATTAAACAGTTTTTATATGATGTTGAGACGTGTGTCTCACCGCATTGTTAAATAGAAATTCAGCCGTATCAAATTTTAGAAAGGCTTTTCTTTCATGTTCGTAATCTTTAGATTTTAGATGTGTTTCTAATCAGATTTCAAATGAGCAAACATGTATCGATGTTATTTAAAATACAATGTTAAATATTTTTATACGACACACACACACACACACGTGTATATATATATATAATTTTTTTATAAAGTATATATATAATATTTAGTCAACATGGAAATATAATTTTGTTATTTTTAGAAAGTTGATTTTTAATCATGAAAGAACGAAATCTTCTGTTAGGTAACTTACATTTATTTGAATTCTTTTTTTGCTATTTCCATGATGATGATGATGATGATGATAAGTATGGAAAATTCTATTAAAAATCTTGTACTTTTTTTCATCTCAATTTTAACTCTGTATTTTTTATCTTATAATTAAACATGTTATAAAAAGAGTTCCGGTCCAAAATGATGTACGATTAGTTTTTGAATCTTGTAAAATTTATATTAGTGTTTACAAATTTTTTTTATTATTTGCCAAGTTTAAATGAATGCGATAGTTGTTTGTTATATGTTCAACCGAGAGTGAAAGGCTCAATAGTGTACTAATTGTTTATAGATCTTATTATTATTTTACTAATTTGTTCTTTGCCAATCAATCTCCCTCGTCATTGAAATCAATCTCCCTCGTCATTGAAATATAAATGTTTAGGGGAGTCCTGTCCTAGTGGTTAATGACAACCCCCTCTTCTATGAGGTTGTGGGTTCGAATCACAGGTATGGTACTCCCTTTGAGCCGGTCAGCTTTACGAGACTGGTTTACATGCTCTGCGTAGTTTGCCGGCTACTGCGCAGGGCGGTGGGTTTTCTCAGGTCTGCGATGCTATTCTGATGCCGTTCTCGTCCAGCCCATGGGTTGAGAGGCATTGTGGTGTCCGGTGTCCGATCCGAAGGGATGTAGGATAGGGGTTTCCCATCGTAACAAAAAATATATAAATGTTTAACAAAAAATATATAAATACAAAATTTATATAGATATGTGTGTATATATAGTGAAGAGGAAGTTAAAAAAAAATCCAATATGTTGGTTCGTTTTGGCCTTTTACTTTTTTTGTAATGTGGTGAAACAGTGAAAGCGGATGAGATATGAGAGAGAGGAGTGCTTGTTTTGGACAAAAGAAGCAACAAAAATAGAAAGGACCATGTTGTCCTCTCTCTCTCTCTCTCTCCATCAAAAAACGTCTCATCATTAAAAAAAAAAAAACCCTAATAGATTCTATTCTAACTACAAAACGATTTTTCATTCAAATCAGTATTCCACGTTAATTAACAACTGCCTAATCCTATGATTGAAAAACAATGAAACTTTGGGTTATATAATCAAAATCATCGCATCACAAGATTAAACTACTAATTAGAAGAACTGTCCAAAAAAAAAAACCAATTTATAAGCATCTAGAATCATGTAAAGTTGGACGTCTAACCAATTTCCAACATATAAATCGTAACCCAACAAATCAAATATCTTAGAGAGAGAGAGAGAGAGATAGGGTTTGGTGTGATTATCTTACGCCATACGATGCGTGGCATAATGCAGATGCCTTTTGTCTTGTCGTGTATCAAACTATTACATACAAAAAATAAAAACATCCACAAAAATAACATTTTTTTTTATTATTATTATTCCAAGCCAAAGTCCTCTTACACATCTCGTCGTCTTCAACTTGATGTCCTTCAGTGTTCCACTACACACCACTCCTAATGTCATTTTACCAACTTGACCTACAACTCACGAATTATACGTACGTGGATGTTTAGTTCAAATATTTTTATGGGTTTCGATTTTTTATTGTACAAAATAATTATATTTTTCTAGATTGTGTTCCGGATTTGATTCGTCTTTCTCATCATTTGTATTTGTTTTTCATTTAAAAATATTTATATTTTAAAAATACAGTTTTTTTTTAATCCTCATATTAATTATAATAGACGGCTATTGATTTGTATACATCGAAATGTGTAGACCGAGGGAGATTCTCTCCTCCACTAGCGTCCTCACAATGGGAAAGACTACCTCATATCCATCCAAGTGTGATTGCAATGCCACACACCATCTCGTGGGCCTTCGTTTTCCCCCCTAACATTATTCATAAAGAGCAAACGCACTCATGTTCTTGTATATTTTATTTTGGAAATTTGCAATTTATATATATACACACACAATAATGCAACTCAAAATTCGTTTGAAAATATTCAAGTGATCTTAAAAGAGGGTTGTGAGATTCCGACTGGATTGGCAATGTTTTGGTTTCTGCTTTTTCCTTCGATGTGTCACACACGACACGACACGGTAGGAACAAGCTTTTTCATTTTTTAGTGTTCATGTCACCACGGTTGGTCTTATATATATATATATATACACACATATATATATATATATGCCATTAATTTCTTTTCTTATTTTTTGTATGGTGGGTATCAAAATATATATGCCAAGTTTTTTTTTTTAACAAAATACATTTTTTTTTGTGACAACGAACCCTAAGTTGTCTTTGGGAACGCGCCAATTTATGGACAACACGTAGATACACATGAACATGCACCTGCACATGCACATGCACATGCACCATCTTCATCCCCCTTTCTGCATGTCTGCACGTGCTCCTCACGTGGTGCCCGGGACACATTTCATTTCCATGCATATCTTTTAGTTGAATGTCTCAAACGGGATTATGATTCATTACAGAGATTGTCCTCCCATATCTCCAAATTTCACCACCCCCCCACACACATGAGCATATGTATACATATATATATATATATCTATGCATATGTATATATATGGACATGGTTGTCCTGCAAATGTTCGACCTTCATATATACTATATATGACCGGCAATTGTAGGTTGTAACATGATAATAGGCCTAGGTGAAAAAAAAAACAAAGAATATTTGATTTCCGAGAAAATTAAACTGGAATAAATTTTGTGCCAAAAAATCTTGCACAATCAGAACAAGTTAATTAGGGATATGAACTGCATTTATTGAAATGATTTGATGATAATCGATTAATCATCCCCTGTTGAAATACACCTTATCTTGAATCTTGACGTATCCTTTTGACCTAATAGGCTTTGTTTAACTAAATAAATAATACATAACTATGATGGTAAAGGCCACCAAAGTCGTGGAAATATTTGTCGGGCCTAATTCACACACTCTTTTATATTTCATTATTATAATAAAAAACTCTTTTTTTTAAAAAAGAAAAAAATCGTGGTGCTTTTGATTCCAATCTCATTGGATACCATCATTTTCATTCATGAGCTGCCCCATATATGTTTATCGTATACCCTTCATGGATCCTGACATCAATAAATGTACATAATGCGCGCGCGGGCGAGAGAGATTAGGCTTTGATCGGACGGAATATTAATAAAGAAAAAAAAAGCGTAAGATTTGAAGCATTAATTATATGATTTGTCATTAGTGAAGTGACTAAGCATAAGAGGTCAAACACTAGGACGCGAAATCTAATAAGGTATATATGACAATAACTTAATTATGGGCCTTGTTTATTTTCGTATGTATATAGTTTTGGACAAATTTGGTAAAAGTGATTGAATTAGACAGCAATTAAACAACACGACAGTTACTGCAAGTTTTTTTTTTTGGTTGAGAAAAAATCAGCTTTTATATATTTAAATCGTGTGTATATATATGTATATATATATATATATATATATTCATTAAAATGAATTTCAGGCAAGTTAAAACAAGCAAACACATAGTTTCCGAGGGAGACAGAAGATCTCGAATTAAATCATGAGAATCGAAGACCAATTCATGAACCGGAAACACATATGACCCAATGCGGTTGTCGAAATGACAAACAGATTCCCCCCCCCAACATCTTGATAGAGTATAATATTTATTATAGATTTGACGATTCAATTATTTTTCTCTATCAATTAGTTCTGACCTGTACACACACACACACACATATATATATATATATACATAACGATATGAAATTCATAATTATTTTAGTATATATGCAAATTTTCTATTTACATCTCGGAATAACATTTATATGATACATTCAAAACAAGGGCATATCGAATACTTATCTCATTAGTTAGTGGCTACGTATTGAAGAACAACTAATAGACATATTAATTGGATTTATTTTTTTTAAAGGGAATAAAGGTTAGGGAATATAAATAGTACAAAACCAGTGATATGGGATTGTGAAACCGAGCTCTAATATCATCCACAATTATTAATTATTATTATTATTTGACTCCCAGTTACAAGTTGGTTTTGGTTTTCGTTAACGTTAGAAAACGACCAGAGTGAAGTGGAATCTAAAAATCCACCATTAGGAGGCTAAAACGGTCTTTATAAATTAAAAAACATGTCTGAAGCATCTTATTACCTTTTTATTCTCTCTTCCTTTCTGCTCTTTTCGCTGGATGTTACTAATCATCAAATCATCTTCTGGTTCCTTCTATCGAATTTTCTATTTTTTTCGTCGGCCCTACAAGGGTAAAATTGTCAAATCATAGTAAGTTTATTAAATTACGGCAAAGTCCTTGGACATTTTATTTTTTTCCCTAATACCCCAATTGATAAATTTTGTTAATTTTTGACGCCTTTGTGATAAACTTGAATTGTACCGGTCTATTTTATGTGATCAATACTTTTAATGGATGGAATGTACACGTGTCTATTTTTATGTATAAAGATAATTGCCCTGTAATTTCAATGTGTTAAAAGATCGAAAAATAATTACTAAAATCTATATTGTGTTAAAAAATAATCTATATACATTCCCTTAAAAAAAAAAGGACTTTGGTTATACCGGGCGAGAAGTATCTCCCCCGAATAATTATTTTTGTCGCTTCGACCAAATCCTTAACGATAAATTGAGAACAATATTTGATGTAAATACATATATCGAAAGCGCATCGAGAGAGGTGAAAGAAATAGTAATGCTTTCCAAAATTAGAAGAGATGAGGAACCAATGAAGCAGAAAAGCCTGCCTCTGGCTGCCCAACTTTTGATTTCCTTTTTTGGCTTCTTCTCGCTCCAATTTCATATATATATATATATATATATACATACATACATATATATATATATATATATATGTGCGGGCGCGG